GCGCCGATGGCAGCCCGTGCCGCTGCTCGGGCCGCGCGTGCCTGCGGCGCGGTCGGAGGCGGCGTTCTTGTCGCTGCCGGATTACGCGGCGACGCTGTGCGTGGGCGGGTACTACGAAGGTAAGGCGCTAGCCGTGTGGCGCTGCCTTCTCGTGGGGCCTTGTGGTGCTCTTGTCCCTCCCAAGCGCGATTCACCTTCTCATTCCCCCTTTCGTCCTCTTGCCTCTCTGTGTTCCCCCCATCAGGCGCGATTCACCGCGACGGGTGTCGGTACTACGGCGACGCGTGGCTGTGGCACCACGACCTGGGCATCTGGTCGCCGCTCGCCGCCAAGGGCGACGACTTCCGCGCCGGCGCGCACTTCTGGCTCGTGCAGCGCAACGACGGCGCCGTCTTCGCGGGCGGCGGCTTCTGCGGCACGCCCATGTGAGTGGCGCGAGCGGGCACGCCCATGTGAGTGGCGCGAGGGGGCATGTGAGTGTTGCGCGAGGGGATTCGGGGAGCTGCGGAGATGCGCTGAGTGCACCGCGAGGAACTCGGTAAATGCGTCTTCCCGCTCACAAACAACCCGCCCCCTTTCCCCCCTCTCCTTCCCCCACTCCCCGCCGCTCCCCGCAGCACGACCATGTTCGGAGCGGTCTACGAGGCCACCATCGTTGCGCCCAAAGTGCGCCGTCCGCCGCCCCCGCGCGCCCCTGCGCGCTCCCTTCCCCTCGCCCACCCCATCCCGCCCGGCTCCCCGCTCCTAGCTCTCCCCGCGCCCCCTTCCGCCGCGCCCATTCTTGCGCTCCCCTGGGGCTCTTCCCCTTCCCCTGGGCGTGGAACTTCCGCCTCCTCCTCCCCCTCCCCCCCGCCGCACTCCTCCCCTCGTCCCCTCTCCGCCTGCTCCTCCTCCTCCTCCCTGCGCACGCCCGGCACGCCGCTCATGCCCATCGTGCGCTCCGCGTCCGCCGCCGCGTTCCGCCAAGGCGCTCGGTCGAGCGCACACGGGGAAGGGGAGAAGCTGGGCGCGGCGGGGGGAATGGTCGTGATGAGCCGCTGCAACACCCTCCCCGCGCAGTACTCTCCGCCGGGCGGGGGGATGGCGGGGGGAGAGGGCGGCGCGGGCGCGGGCGGAGGCTTCAGCGCGTGGGACGAGCGGCAGCTGGCGCTGGGATCCGCTGACGTCAGCACGGAGCATCACGACGCGAACGTGCGGTTCAAGGCGAAAGAGGAGGCGCCGTTCGAGGCGCCTTTGGGACCAATCAACATCAAGATTCTTAAGCTCGAGTTTGAACGACGGGTGAGAGCAACATGCACCAACTGGAACGACATGTTGTCAAAAGGCCTTACTTCCTCGAATAATGCCTAGGAAATCCCGTCCTTATCCACCCATTCCTGTTCTCTTCCGCGTCCGCCTCGCCCCCTTGCTCGTTTTTTGCAGCGTGAGAACCGGCTGAAGACGAAAGCAGAGATGGCGGCGGCGGGCGCAATGGCGGCGATGCGGCGCGTGAGGGCGCAGCAGGGGGACCAGATGGGCGCAGGGGTGGCGCAGTCCCTGATGCTGCACGTGCGAATGAGACAAATCGACCCGCCCATCTGGAGGTGAGAAGGGGGAGGAGGCAGGTTTGGTGATGGCTGCTTCATTTTTTATAATCACAAGGGATGCTGCCGTCCTCCCCTCTTGCTCACATGTGATCTAATCCCATCCATGGCATCCGATGTCATGCCATGCCACGCCATGCACGCATCAGGCGTCAGGGCACATGACGCTACATTCCATGTTCGGCCATATCATCCCATCTCACCCCACCCCACCCCACCCCACCCCACCCCACCCCATCCCACCCCAACCCGTGGCACTGCGCCATCAGGCGCATGGAGGTGTCGGGGCACATGACGCTCCGCCAGTTCCACAAGCACGTGCTGCGCCTCTCCATGGGCTGGGCCAGGTGCGTCCCCAGGTGTTCAGGTGCATTCTCAGGTGCTCAGATGCGACCTCAGGTGCTCAGGTGCCCATTGTTGCTCAATCCCAGTCCATCCCGCATACTCATTACCAACCCCTCATGCCCATGCCCATCCCCCGTCCTCCACAGGGACCATCACGCCTACAAGTTCCGGTCCTCCTCAGGCCCGTGCCCCGGCGTGTGGTTCGGGCCGACCCTGTCTGCCGCACCTGACTTCGCCCTGGCGCGCATGCTTGGGCAGGGCTTGGCGGACGACAACTGTGTGCTGCTGGGGGAGATGCTCGTCAAGGTGAGCAGCAGAGGGTGGAAGAAGGGGGAACCAATCAGCTTGCATGTCAGGACGGCGATTGACATGCTGGTAGGTGCGTGCAGCATCCACTCCCTATGGAGCTTGCATCCCAGATTTCCTCTTGCATACCGTGCATGCGCCACCCCATGCCTGCACCACCCCATGCCTGCACCACCCCATGCATGCACCACCCCATGCATGCACCACCCCGTGCATGCAACACCCCATGCATGCAACACCCCATGCATGCAACACCCCATGCATGCACCACCCCATGCCTGCACCACCCCATGCCTGCACCACCGCATGCCTGCACCACCCCATGCCTGCACCACCCCATGCCTGCACCACCCCATGCCTGCACCATCCCACGTCTTGCCCCATGGCACAGGAGGGCGACCGCATGGCGTATGTGTATGACCTCACAGACCGCTGGGAGCACGAGATTGTGCTGCTGCACGCCACACCCGGCCCGCCACACCGCCCTGTCAGTGCCCTTCTCTTCCCCTCCCCGTTTCCTCTGATTCATTCCCCCCTGGAATTCCTATCATTTCCGGTTGTAATCTGAAACACTTTGACCTGTATCTCTCATTCCCATGTGCTCGAAATTCTGGCCTATGATTATATTGTTTTCCATCTACTCTGTCTGCGACGTTTGCCTGCTTTTGCCACTACTGACCCTCCTCGCCCTACCACCCCCCGATCGCCGTCTCCTTGCTCTCCCTGCCTTGCTTCACCCACCCCCCTGTTTGGCGCACACAGCTGAGAGCGGAGGTGGTGGATGGGTGGGGGGCATGTCCCCCAGAGGACGTGGGGGGAATGGGGGGATACCTGCGGCTGCTGGAGAGAGTGCGCAGCAGCCATGGCAGCAAGCGCGATGCTGCATGCACACGGGTGCTCCGGGCCGCTAATAAGAGTCACCTTGACTCGTTTGACCCCACGTGAGTGCCTTGGCTCGTTTGACCCCACGTGAGTGCCCTGACTCGTTTGACCCCACGTGAGTGCCTTGACTCGTTTGACCCCACGTGAGTGCCTTTACTTGTTTGACCCCACGTGAGTGCCTTGACTCGTTTGACCCCACGTGAGTGCCTTGACTCGTTTGACCTCACGTGCCTTGACTCGTTTGACCCCACGTGAGTGCCTTGACTCGTTTGACCCCACGTGAGTGCCTTGACTCGTTTGACCCCACGTGAGTGCCTTTACTTGTTTGACCCCACGTGAGTGCCTTGACTCGTTTGACCCCACGTGAGTGCCTTTACTTGTTTGACCCCACGTGAGTGCCTATGTGTGCTTGCCTGCTGCATTTTCTCCAATGACCAGAGCCATGCTCATTTAACATCATTCTCATTGATCCAATGTACCACCATCCCACACCCCCACCCATCAAACTCCTCGCTATCCTCCCCTCGCCTCCCCACCATGTTCCACCCTGCAGCAATTTCCCTCTCAACGCCTGCAGAGCAGCCTTGGAGAAGCACCTAGCATCAGCGGCTCTCACCCCGCCATCCAACCACCTCGACCCCGTCCCAGTTGCCGCCCACCCCGTCCCCGCCCTCGCCTCCCCCTCCCCCCTGGCCCCCCTCCAACGCTCCAAGTCCTTCTCCATCACCCGCCCCTCCTCCACCAGCCCCCACCACTCGCACACGCCACATCAGCTGCCACATCAGCAGCACCGGCACCATCAGACCGCCAGGTCACCGCACCGTGGCAGCAGCCCCCACCGCAGCCCTCGACCAATCACAAGCAGCTCAAGTTTCGGCAGCAGCGTCAGCAGCAGTAGCCGGGGGGGTGGATCCAGGGGAGGAGGAGCAGGAGGGGGGACACGGGGAGTAGTACCAGGGCCGATACTCGTACAAGCGGTGCCTCCCCTGAATCTACCTCCCCCTGATTTCGCGGGTCGCAAGGCGTGTCAGGCGTGTGGGTCGAGCAAGGCGGAGGTGGCGTGCGAGCGGTGCCACCGGGTCTTCTACTGCTGTGTGGAGCATCAGCACATGGACTGGAAGCTTGGCCACAGGCTCGTGTGCGTGGCCGTGGAAGAGGTGCGGTGACGTGCCGAGCGGTGCGGTGCGTGAGGTGCCTCCGGGTTGGAAGGCTTCTTAACTGCCACGCGTGGTTAAAATGGTGCTTTATTTGGTGTTGTCGGCGCTAAGCAACACAACAGTAAGGTGTTGGGAGTAGATTTAAATATTGGATAGAGGCAAATGCATCAAAGGGATATGGTATGGTTGCAAACAATTGAGGCATATACCCTTTTGGCGTATTTGTCTGGATGCATCAAGTCTATGTGTACTCCAATAATATGAATGGTGGTATTATTATACCACCGGAATAATCTTTGTACATCTTTGTTTGCGAGAGCTACTACGCGCTATAGAGGGAAGCCCATACCCCAGTTTACACCCGCGAGCCAAATTCTAGGTTTCCTGAGGAGGCTGGTGGCGAGGCGAGGGGATGGAGGGAGAGAAAGAAGCCATAAAAACTGCCATAACTGACAAGCCGAAGGGATTTTGCAGTGAGAAACTCGTGCACGCAGCTTCCAGCGCGACACGGCCGAGGGTAGTGTGATTCTTGAAGCTGCTAGGTTCTCAGCTGCAGCCTTCATCATCCCGTTCAGTTGTAAAGCTTGGGTGTTGATCGTTTCTACGCGGTTCAGAGATAGGTACACGTTTCTCTCCAGCGCTGCGTAAATTGCGAACGTCATCGCTGTCGCAAGGGCTTTGTTAAGTCGCAAGCTTCGTGTAAGTCGCGAGCGTCGTACACGTCGCGATGACGACGGCAGCGCGGCCGACATGGGCGCCGGCAAAGGGAGGCGAGGAGCAGGGCGGGTCGCGCATATTCGGGCCGAGTCAGAAGTACTCCGCTAGAGATGTCGCCAGCCACACGAGCCTCAAACCCAGGTGCGGGGCTTAGAGGCATCTCTAATTCAAGCTCTAGCGTGCTGAGGCCGCGCCAGATTCATTCCGGTTGAGACGTTGCGACTCTCACGAGTCGCTAACTAGTTGCGCGTCGGAACCTCAGTAGGCATTTTTATTGCGATATTAGGTACCCTGTAAAAGATACCGTCAGGCAGCTCGCTTCATATCCGCTAATTAACCGTTTGTGTCCAAACATGGCGTGTGTTCGTGCATGGCACGTGGCCGCATACTCGCGTGCGGTGGAGCAGGAGGGAGGGGCAGGTGACGAAGGAGGAGGTGAAGCGGCGGGACCTGCGGGGGGAGCTGGAGGAGCGTGAGAGGCGGCACTTCGCCGCAAAGGACAAGGAGCAGCAGCTGCGCACCGACGACCGCAAACGAACCTCTGGCTTGTTGTTACCAGGTAACATCCGCGGGCCTGTGCGCAGCAGTGCGGTTTGGTGGCGGGTCGGGCGATCAGTGCTTCTGCGTGTCGCTTCTGTGCATGTGCCGTGTTTCCCATAGGTGCTGAGAACGCTTTGTGTATGCATGCATGGTCGCGTGATGGATGCGAGGGTACGTGATGCATGGATGGTTACATGGCTGCATGGTGCATGGGTGCATGGTTACATGGCATGTGTGCATGCGTGCATGGATGCAGGTGGGGGGGCGTTGGGAGGGCGGAAGGAGGTGGAGGAGCGGTTGATACCCCGAGCAGCGGATGCAGACGACTCCGATGGGGAGGACAGGCGGGGAGGCGGGGGTGATGACGAGGATGATGACGATGATGACGAGGACGATGACGAGGATGACACCATGGAGTTGCTTGCTGAGCTGGAGAGAATCAAGAAGGAGCGAGCCGAGGAGAAGCTGCGCAAGGTATGTGGCGTCCCATGCGGTCCGCCATGTGGTCGCCTATGTGGTTGTGTGTGCTGTACATGTGTGTCCGCCGCACCTGCATGCCATGCCCTGCCATGAATCGTTTTCAGAGTTCACGAAGGGTGCACTTGAATTCACACCCATAGGCTTCTTGCACTTGCATTGAATGTGTAAAGTACCCTGCCCTCTTTATCTCTGGTTCGCCTCTCCTCCCTGCTCTGCTGCCCGCCCTCTGCGCGCCCATGTGGTGTCATGTGAGCAGGAGAAGGAGCAGGCGGAGCAGGAGGCGAAGGCGAGAGAGAAGGAGATGGCACGCGGCAACCCCATCATGGCTGCTGGGGGCTCCGCCTTTGCTGTCAAGCGCAGGTGAGGACGGGCCAGGGGTGCGTGGGTGAAAGGGTTGTGGGCGAGGGGGGTGTGGGCGAAGGGGGTGTGAACAAGGGGCAGCATGGCAGCACAGCAACATGGGCCTTTTCCCTTGCATGCATCCATATTCGCAGCCAATGCCATCCCCTTCCTGGCACCCGTATCACTCGCCTCTCACTGCCCTTGCTTGCCACGCACTCCCCTGTACTAGGTGGGACGACGACGTGGTGTTCCGCAACCAGGCCAAGGACGAGCAGAAGCCCTCCAAGCGATTCATCAACGACACCATTCGCAGCGACTTCCACCGCCGCTTCCTCAACAAGTACATGAAGTAACGCGCTTGCTCACACTGCAGTGTGGTGGCTTCTTCTCGTAAGCAGGAAGTTCAGTGTTACCACCACGCATTCATTTTGTATATGTGCTCCATATGTGCAGCTTTGTGTGAAATCTGTTAGCAATGAATTTCGACAAGGTCAATTGGGGAAGGGAGAGGGGGGTAGGGAAGGTAACATGCAGGCTGGAACATACGGTAGTAGGAACTTAGGCCCTCCTCACAAGAGAGCCACAATAATTTTATACTGGGTATAGACTTTGACCATAAGCACAAATGCATAAAGATATCTTTATGCTTACTCTACAACACTACCGGCACACTACAAAACGTTTCCTACCAGGCCTACACACAACGAAGAGAATTGCCTACCTGCCTGCTACCTGCTGCTCATATGACGGAGCATAAGCTACGTGCACCTGATCTGACCTACACAAGACAGCCCACTGTTGAGTCACAAGCAAAAACAATACCGGCTCGCAGCTCTGCTGCATGTGCCTTGCGTGTGCCAGAGCACACGTATGGCTATGATCCACACACTGCCGCCTGCTCAGCAGCTGCACTGGGGGACCACTGGGGCTTCCAATGCCTCCAAGGCATAGCAAGCCTCTCTTATCACGAGAGACTGCAGCCCATCCAACCCTCAGCTCAGAGCCTCTTTACGTGGCTGCAGCACCTCCCGCGGCCTTCTCTGCAGCCTCCTTGGCCTTGGAGTCGCGCTGCTGCTGCGCCACCTGTGCCACTGTGTGCGCCATGGCCTGGTGGGCAAAGTCCAGAGAGCCCATCAGACTGCTGAACCGCGCCGGGTCCGATGCTTGCACCCCTGGTTTATTCACGGAGTGGAGAGGGGTGGCGAAAGTGGGGCAGGAGGGCAGCCAGGGGCAGAGGAGAAGGTATGGATGGGGGAAAGAGGTTAAGGAGGGAGGGAGGGTCAGGTGCGAGGGGGGAAGCCAGGAGCAACACGAGCCATGCAATCTGCTTGCTGTCATGGTGGCGCAGAGAATGGAAGGGCCGAGTGGACGAAGGGGAGCTTCAGGCAGTACAACACACTGCTGGCCGTGGCGTGGCCTCTCACTGGCCACAGCATGGCATCCCATGGAGGGAGGCAGGGCTCACCAGCCATGATATCGAAGAATGGGATGAAGAAATCGATGTCATCGATGGGTGTGAGCATCTCATCTGCCTTGCTGTGTGTGTGTATGAGCCACAACACGCACTCCATGAAGTAGATGCTCTCTCACCGGCCATGATGTCCGAGAAGTGGATGAAGGGGTCGACATCATCGATGGGTGTGAGCATCTCATCCTCGTCCGACCAGAAGCCCTCATCGTCCTCATCCTCCTCCTCATCCCCATCCAACATCTTGTGCGCCTGCCGTGCCATGCCATGCCATGCCATGCCATGCCATGCCATGCCATGCCAAGAAAAAGAGCCGAGCACACAGCGATGAGGGACATAGCAGGGCAGGGCACGGCACATGGCAGGCAAGCACCAGCACATGTGGGGAAGGGAAGGAACATGCAGCTATGACATGAAAGTGGAAGGTGTCACCCGGCAGCACACTGCAACTCCCCCTTCACATCGCCCATACTAGGAGTAATTCAGGTAAATTGCACAAGTGAAGGAGGAGGGCGTGGCATGAGAGGAAGCAGCATGGCTGTCAAACTGACCTTCTTAATGGCCTTCTTAAGCTCTGATGACTCCTCCCCTTCCTCCTCCTCTTCCTCCTCATCCTCATCCTCCTCCCCACCATCTCCCATGCCATCCTCGCCCTCCTCGTCCTCATCGTCGTCCTCTGACTCCAACTCCGCTGCTGCTCACACACGCACACAGGGAGAGGGAGAGGGAGGCAGCAACAAATGGGCGGGGGAGGAAGGACTGATTTGGGCAGCTGGTCCGTCGCTGCTTCCAGCCCTTTGTGACCCCGACATCGGCAGCACAACCTTGCAGCTTCACACAGAGCACCTACCATCTTGCTTCAGTCACATTCCTTGCTCTCACTCACTCACCACTCACTCATCCCAAGTGCTCTGACAGTCACTCACCCTCCTGTTGCTCCTTGTACGCCACGAGCAGCTGCAGCACCGCCTTGGCGAATTCGCCCTGCAGCGGTGCCACGGATGCCGGCAGCGCAGCCGTGGGCAGTGAGAGCAGCGACACCAGCCCCAGAATGCACACCTTCTTGTCGTGCTGCCTGTGGCCGGGGGACCGGGAGGGAAAGAAGGGAGAGGAAGGGTAGTTTGGGTCAATGTGGAGGACAGGAGAGACACTAATGGAAAAGAAAACGGAAAGGAAGAAAACAAAAACCACTGAATTTACAGGTTCATGCACAATCTCTTGCTCTGACCTCTTGAAGTGAAGGCGCTTGCTGGTGGTCTGGCTCTTAGCCTGCAGCATGGTGAGCCACGTCTGAAACACGCCTGCTGTTGCCCCCATACCCTCCAGCGTCTGCAGTGTGAGCTGCGCGTTGTAGTACAGCCCGTTGGCCACCACCTGGGGGAGGGGAGAGACGAATGGAGAGAGAGCAAGAGTGCGAACGATAGGATTGGATTGATAGTGGAAAAGAATGTAGGAGTATATACCGCGATATGAAATGATTGCCACCTGTGGAAGTACCACTGGCGGAGATATGAGCACCAACAGCAGCAGAAGCAGCGGCAGTAGCACAAACGGACCTGCATGAGGTCTTTGAAGTGGCCAAGGGAGGCCTTGTTGCGGCGAGAGAGGGCGAGCTGCAGCAGCAGTGGCAGCAGCACCACCACAAGCACACACACGGACCTGCATGAGGAGGTCCTTGAGGTGGCGCAGAGAGGCCTTGTTGAGACGCGTGAGGGCGAGCTGCAGGTACAGCGGCAGCCATGCGTCCACCCGCCCCCGGCAGTTGAGCAGCACCACCTCCATCAGCTTGGGTGCTGGTACCACGTCCCGATCGCTGATGTCGTCATCACTCAACAGCTGCGGGGGCAAGGGAAGAGAAGGCAGAGGGTGATACTGCGGTGAGTCTAGGGCAAAGAGAGGGCTGTGTGCGAGTCATGGGCGGCAGTTGAGCAGCACCACCTCCATCAGCTTCGGTGCTGGTACCACGTCCCGATCGCTGATGTCATCGTCACTCAACAACTGCGGGGGCAAGGGAAGGGAGAGTCATGATAAAGTGGTGGGTGAGTGAAACTGACGAAAGAATGGGGGAGCACTGTGAATTTGGGCAGTGCGAGCGCACCAATTGGTGCACTATTGCTCACAGCGTGCTGCATGTGATTGACCTTGTGCCAAATGCCCTCTGCCCTGCCACATCCTACTCTCTATGTGCACTGACACACCATGCTCTCTGCATGCCCACGGACCAAAAGAGAGAGGTTTACCTTGGAGAGCAGCTTCCAGAGCGAGTCGGGGTAGTTGGGGTCGGGGCACGTGAGGAAGTGCTCCGTGCCGCGTGAGATGAAGTTGTCAAGAGGGTCCAACGCGTCTGAAGGGAGGGGACACACGGGGAGTAGGACAGCACAATGGGGCGTGGCGGGAAAAGGATGAGGGTAGGACATGGGGTGAGGGGGTAGGTTTGATGCAGGAGAAAGGGCGGAAGCAGGGAGCAGGGCAAGAGCAGGTCGCATAGAGCAGGTCACATAGAGCAGGTCGCATAGAGCAGGTCGCATAGAGCAGGTCGCATAGAGCAGGTCGCATAGAGCAGGTGGCATAGAGCAGGGAGCAGGGTGGGGCCGTACACTCAAAGAAGTCGATGGCGAATTCGTTGAGGGAGGAGAGGATGAGCGGCCAGATGGACCAGAGGGCGGGCGAGATGGATGGGCTGTAGTACGTCATGTAGGTGGCTATCTCCAACACCTCCTCGTACAGGTCTGCCACATGCCATGCCATGATTGCAATGTGATGCCACAATTGCAATGTGACGCCATGATTGCAATGTGATGCCATAATTGCGATGTGCCCCATGCCATACCACGCCACACAATGAATAGAAGGAGAGGGAGACAATGAGACGGTGCCCATTGCTGTCACTAAACCCTACCGAACCCGCCACCATGCCATCTCAGCAACGCACTCTGCGCTGTGCTATGGCAAGGCGCCTCAAAATGTCACATACCCCCGTTCATGCACAGCAAACGCACTCCCAGCTCCAAAACCAGCCCACCATAGGTAACAACCCTCCCAGACGTACCCCCAGCTCAGCCCACCATAGGTAACAACCCTCCCAGACGTACCCCCAGCTCAGCCCACCTTGGCAATCGCACAAGAGCCTCTTGACCCACCTTGGCCGTCAGACGTGAGCATCTTGTGCAGGATGGGCAGCAGCGTGGGCTCCAGCTGCGGGAAGAGGTGCGGCAGCGAGGAGATGGACTCGAGCACCGTGCCCATGGCCCTCAGACACCCCGCTGCCGCCAGCGCACTCATGTCATCCACCGCCTCCTCGCTCTCTCCTCCCTCTGCTGCCTCTGACGACCGCACACACTTCCAGAACGCCGCCGCCTGCCAGTGGGAGATGGTACGACAAGGAGAGAGAAAGGGAGGGAGGGGAGTAAGGGATGGACTCGAGCACCGTGCCCATGGCCCTCAAGCACCCCGCTGCTGCCAGCGCACTCATGTCATCCACTGCTTCCTCGCTCTCTCCTCCCTGCCTCTGACGACCGCACACACTTCCAGAACGCCGCCGCCTGCCGTGGTGGGGTGGTGGTGAGATGAGAGGAGGGGATGGTGAGAGATGGAATACAGGCATGGCCATGGGCATGCATCATGCACGCGCGATGGTTGGCTGCTCTCTAAGTGCAACGGAGTGGTGGGCATGTGCCGACAGCCAAGACAGGCGCGGGCGGACAGGCACGGGCGGACAGGCACGGGCGGACAGGCACGGGCGGACATGCACGGGCGGACAGGCATGGCAGAGGGGTAGGGCGGCAGGGGCAGGGGCGACGTACGAGGTTGTGGATGAGGCCGACGGCGAAGGGCGACATCTCCTCGCCAAACTTCTCCACGATGACCTCCAATGTGAACACCAGG